AGAATAATCATTGAGGGAAATATTAGTTCGTTTTGACCAACATTTAAAGACCCTCCATGTGTGATTCATTGCAATTCATATATAAGCTTTAACAATATTATATGTTTTAACAGTTGTTTTTTGAATAATATTCGCCAAATAAATTTTGATATTTGAAATTGCATCTATCCGTTCTTTGCCTTTAATTTATGGCTTCCGATATATTTTAGGCAGGACCAGTCGATATGACAGTGTATGAGGAGTTTGGCCGCCTCATTCCTGGCTTTGCCCCAAGTCAACCTACTCAGTGTTATGGCGGTTCTGGATCCTCTGCAATTCTTGCAGCACCTACGAACTCTTCTGAAAACACTGGACTGGTCTTTTCCCTTAGTGGTAACTTATCTTCTTCCGGATCGGTGTCTACTTCTTCCCCAACTTCTCATGCAGCTACCCTGGCTGCTCGTCAAATGATGCAACAGCAGCAGCAGCAGCAACAGCATCTTCAGGCTACAACCAGAGCCACTAGTTTCGCAAATACAAGTGTCACTCAGCCTCCACAGCCCCAGCAGCAACAACAACAACATTCGAATAATACTTTGCATCAGCATCAACAACAACAACAACAGGCTGCTGCATTGATTTTACAACATCAGCAACATTCACGTGCTCAGATTCAGCAGCAATTACATCACCAGCAATTGCAACAAGCAATCCAGCAGCAACAGCAACAACACCCTATGTCTCATTCTCAATCTTTACCATCCCCGGGACAAGTTAGTTGAGCTAGTTTTTACCCCCTTTCATCTCATCAATTTTTTTCCTTCATCAATCTCATTTAAATATAGTCTTCTTTTGACGTCATTGTCTGGTTTGATTACTTATACTTCGCTTTAAATAGCTTAATTTTTTAAAGAATTTCACTATATCCTTCGTTTATAAGCCGAGTTTCGAGACTACCAGTAAATGAGTAGAGCTTATGTTTCCATTGGTATGAAGACCAAGATGGTATGGCCTTTTGTGTGTTCGCAGTCTCTTTTCGTTGTATAGAGGTTGCTTGACCTTGTTTTCGCAACTTGGCCATATTGGTAGGCATCGTACTCGGCAGCGTCAGTGAGTCTCCCCATTATAAGCACCACAAAACAATGAGACAAGTGAAGCCGATCCTTTGACCAAGCGTGTGCTAAACAGTTGTGGTATCTCCTCTCCTGCCTTGGGCTATTCACATTTTCTATATCCTCCTATTACGCCCTCACTGTTACAATTTTTACCGTGCTTATTTATATGTAGTGTGGTATGTTCCTTTGAGCGGCATTCATTAAAACCCTTCACACTCACCCCCATCACCCTTGTGTTGTGAATGTTGATCAGAATCTGCCATATTGTTAGGGAGTCCTCCACTAGGTCTTATCACAGTGTCTCTCTTGCCCCATAAGATTCCTCTGCTATATCCCTGGTTCATTTATTTTACTCGACCCCTTCCACACCATCTGTGCTACTCGAGGCGTTATTTGCCCTTCTCTGTGTTTGGGTGAGTAATTTGAGGCTAAAGCATCAGAATAAGTCTCGAGGTCACGCCTTTGCTACATGGAACCTACTGTTAGCCAATTAGCTCCAGTTTCCACAATGTCTATTATGTTTCTATCCCTAATACCAAGTATATTACTACTAATGCCCTAGGCTCTTGTGTGCCAACCCACAAACGTTGTGGTTCAACATTGAACCTAATCAAATGTGTGGGTTGGCACACAAGATATTATGGCATTGGTAGTCATATACATGGTATTAGCGATAGAAACATGATAGACATGTTGGAGACTGGAGCTAGTTGGCTGACAGTAGGTTTTACCAGATACGTGGTCCATGTAGCAAAGTCGTGACCATGAGACTTATTAGAGGCTTTAGCTCCGAATTACTCAACCAGACGCAGAAGTCGAGTGAAATACGTAAACCAGGATATAGCAGACGGATCTTACTTACAAGAGAGAGACTGTGATAAGTCCTAGGGAAGGAGGACTGCGTAATAATATGGCAGACTCTCATCAACATTCCCATCACAAGGAGGAAGGGGGTGAGAACAACAGCGTGGAGTGTGAACGGTTTTCATGAATGCCGCTCAAAGGAGCACATCACACTACATTTAAATAAGCACGGTAAACATTGTAACAATAAAGGCGCGATAGGAGGATATAGGAAATGTGAATTGCCAAGGACAGAAGAGATACCACAACTGTTTGGTCAAAGGATCGGCTTTACTTGTCTCTTTGACGAGTTGTAGTATTGTGCTATGAATGGCAAGACTCACTGACGATGCCAACTTAGATGCCGGACAAACGTCTGGGAATGTACCACGTCCACGTTCCGAGTTTGGAAATGATCATACATACAATGGACTCCGAACTCTGTGCGTTCCTCTAAGTCTCCCTACCAATATGGCCAAGTTGGGAAAACAAGGTCAAACAACCTCTTCACATAATCTTGTTTTCCCAAAATTTGTTCTCATTCCGATTGGAATCCAGTTTCGACCTCGCCTAGGTCTTATCAACACGTCCAGAGGGAGTCGAAAGTGCAGCGTCTAAACTCGAAACGTTAGCAACTCTGCCACATTGTCACAAATGCCTTTTGGTCAGAGGAAAGATGTGAATTTTAAGGAAGTGCATTTTACTTCCTTAAAATTCCATATCACCACCACCATATCACATTCTTTGGTGGATGTGTCGATAACGCAAAGTTATATTCGCTATTACAACCGACTACATTATATCTCAACCGATTTACTGGTATTCTCGTAACTCTGCTTATAAACCAAAAATAAGTGATGTAGCCGATTGTTATAGTAAATATAACTTTGCTTCATCGACACCATATGCTGTGATATGGGAAAATCCATGGCCTTTCTTAAAATTCACATTGTCCTGTGACACCAGGGCACTCGTGGCAATGTGGCGGAACGGTTAACGTGTCGACTTTATGCACTGCACTTTCATGATTTGACTCCCACTGGGGGTGTTGATAGGACCTAGGCGAGGTCGAAATTGCAGTCCACTATGGATGAGAACAACTTATGGGAAAGCAAGGCTATATGTAATTCAATGGAAACGTCAATTCTACTCATATCATTTTGGAAAATTCTACTATCATTCCGCCATCATCTCAAACGAAATAGCGTGAATACATCTCATATTTCCCCATATTTATTGATTATTTTATTTTATTTTATTTTTATCTGTTTATTTTCGATATTATTGCAAGCTGCTATAACTTATTAAAGCGGAGCATTAGACTTCGAAAATAGGATAAATAATCAAGTATATTGTTGCAGCACAAACTCGATTTTGACGTAGAAATATTTTCTCATAAGTAGTGTAACAAATGGACGAGTACATGGTATTACTACTAAAATAATGTCTAAACGAAATTTATCAATATAAACCTTCTAAATTTTTGATTCCTTGCATTGGTATCGAAAGCCCTCCTGTTTTATTCACTAAGAATCATTTTAGTTGCACCTTTTTTGTAGATTTTTTCTCGGAGTTTAGGTTTTGACGTGAATTGTTGTTGATATACCTTACATTTCGTTTTACATGCGGTTGGGAAGTAAATTTGCTTCACTGGTAGCCGAAGAGCTTTTGCTCTAGCTTGTGTGATTAAGTGCTAAGCATCACTCTCCCTCAACTCTGATTAATCCTTGCTGATTGTTGCCGATTTTTGTCAATTTTTATGATTAACTTTCTGAGCTTAACCAAGTAATTTCTTATCCCAGATTCCAGTATCTGGTCTATTCGATAAGATAACCGATCAAATCGAAAGGCATGTTGGTGCTATCGCTAATTTACTTCGAAATCAACCTGTGGTAGCAGAACGCATTCTCCGTTCCTTACGCTGCCTTATCGACGCTGCTCATCTCGCAAAAACAAGTCGTGATCCATCAATTGCCTCTGACGTTATCGCCACAGTGCTGGTTTCTCTTCTAGAACACTTCCGCCCAAGCCATTGGCGAGACCAACCAAGGGGACTTGAGACAATGGAACATCTTAAAGAGGCTCACATGATTACGCCTCGACATATGCTCTCCTGCGAGCAAGCACCTTATGGCTATGCTTGGGTTACCCGTCAGGTATGTTAGCTAATATATAGATAACTAACTCAATCGTAATCATTCTTGAACTTACTATTTAATTTTTATGGTGGTTATTCTTCATGGTGCCTTTTCAATATAATTTTATTGTTTTTCTATGGCTCCTATAGGGTTCGGCAGATTTAGATGTGCGTATTCGGCAATGTCTCGCAATCGTGTAATTTATCTATCCTTTAAATTATGTAAATCGTGGGTACTATTTTAGTCCGTCATAAATTTTAATTTTCCAATGCCATAAGAACTAGAAAAGCCTTAGCTTCATTTAATGGAGTACCTGATGTTCAGGTTTCTCACAGTAAAATGGTTTGAAGCCACAACATAACATTGTATTTGACTTGCTACCCAAATAGCTAACTGGAATTCACTAATTAGTAGTTAGTATTACTTTCGCTATTCTTTCGCCACCCTAAATGCTGCAAAATAATCCTCTTCTTATAAAACATCTGGTTGTTTAGAATAATATTAAATATTTCCATCGAAATTTTAATGTTTCCAAGCTTGTGCCTCGTTTCTATTGATGATTTATCAGGGTAAATTGAATTGATTTTTCCCTACTTGTTTTTTATCTCTTTTCTACTGTCTATTCTGATCTTAGGTAATAAATAAACAGGTTATTTGATTCGTAATTTCCCTTTCAAATATATGGAAAAAATTCTTTTCTTTATTTCACGATAATCGATTTGCGTGATTCAGCGAAATTTTCAATATTATATTACAAAAGAACTAGTTTTGAGCCTGTTTAATATATCACTGCAATGTCCTTCATTAGTTGTTATTATTATTCATACTGAAATATAAAGAATTTTATTTGTCACAATTTATCACTGTGAACTCGATCACCTATATTTCTCACTTTTTATCTTTTTTTCCTTTGTGGAATTCTCAGATTGTATGTAGTACTTCTTATTTTTATTATAACCATATTTTATTCTTAGAATATAAAAATTTACTAGCTTTTTTATTGCAGATAACAGATATATGGATTGCATTGGATTCTGGTAATGCAAACATTGCATCTGGGTGCAGCAAAACGACAAGTGGTAGCTTTACTATCAAGAGCGAAGGCATGGACTATAATGAATCTGGCTCCTCTGATCAAGCCCATGAGGGTAGACAACTGAATAAATTAGATAAGGTTAGCATCTAATAAAGTATATATATAATGTTGATTGCCAAATTAACGTTATCATTTCATCTCATCACTACATCACTCTCAATAACCATTTTCGTAATGTTCATTCTAATTTTTTTATCAATATAGAAGTTTCATTAAAGTACTCGATTTAAAGCATTAGTTTTTGAAAAAAATTATTTATGATTCCTTCTTTGTCTTCTCAGTCATCTATTTTGGACAATCCTGTTCTTGAATTATTTTTGATGCTTTTGTTCTTTTTTATTCTACCTCCACCTCAAACTATCGCGGGACATTATATTTGTATTTCATCTTTCTTGTTAA